GTCGTCTAATTTCACATTTGATTACAATGCTTCTGATGTTGTTTGCTAATGTTAACTCTCAAATGATATTCAATTATTTTACTGCGGCAATAAACTTGTGTCGGATCTCTAAACAGGATCACAAAATTATTGTAAATACATTGTTTATGAGGGGACGACCCTGGGTAAAATTATTGTAAATACATTGTTTATGAGGGGACGATCCTGGGTAAAATTATTGTCAATACATTGTTTATGTGGGGACGACCCTGGGTGAAAGTATTGTAAATACATTGTTTATGAGGGGACGACCCTTGGTAAAATTATTGTAGATACATTGTTTATGAGAGGGCGACCCTGGGTAAAATTATTGTAAATACATTTTTTATGAGGGGACGACCCTGGGTAAAATTATTCTAAATACATTGTTTATGAGGTGACGACCCTGGGTAAAATTATTGTAAATACATTGATTATGAGGGGACGACCCTGGGTAAAATTATTGTAATTATTGTAAATACATTGTTTATGAGGGGACGACTCTGGGTAAAATTATTGTAAATACATTGTTTATGAGGGGGACGACCCTGGGTAAAATTATTGTAAATACATTGTCTATGAGGGGACGACCCTGGGTAAAATTATTGTAATTATTGTAAATACATTGTTTATGAGGGGACGCCCCTGGGTAAAATTATTGTCAATACATTGTTTATGTGGGGACGACCCTGGGTGAAAGTATTGTAAATACATTGTTTATGAGGGGACGACCCTGAGTAAAATTATTGTAAATACATTGTTTATGAGGGGACGATCCTGGGTAAAATTATTGTCAATACATTGTTTATGTGGGGACGACCCTGGGTGAAAGTATTGTAAATACATTGTTTATGAGGGGACGACCGTGGGTAAAATTATTGTAAATACATTGTTTATGGGGGGACGACCCTGGGTAAAATTATTGTCAATACATTGTTTATGTGGGGACGACCCTGGGTGAAAGTATTGTAAATACATTGTTTATGAGGGGACGACCCTTGGTAAAATTATTGTAAACACATTGTCTATGAGGGGACGACCCTGGGTAAAATTATTCTAAATACATTGTTTATGAGGTGACGACCCTGGGTAAAATTATTGTAAATACATTGATTATGAGGGGACGACCCTGGGTAAAATTATTGTAATTATTGTAAATACATTGTTTATGAGGGGACAACCCTGGGTAAAATTATTGTAAATACATTGTCTATGAGGGGACGACCCTGGGTAATGTTTATGAGGGGACGACCCTGGGTAAAATTATTCTAAATACATTGTTTATGAGGTGACGACCCTGGGTAAAATTATTGTAAATACATTGATTATGAGGGGACGACCCTGGGTAAAATTATTGTAATTATTGTAAATACATTGTTTATGAGGGGACGACCCTTGGTAAAATTATTGTAGATACATTGTTTATGAGAGGGCGACCCTGGGTAAAATTATTGTAAATACATTGATTATGAGGGGACGACCCTGGGTAAAATTATTGTAATTATTGTAAATACATTGTTTATGAGGGGACGATCCTGGGTAAAATTATTGTCAATACATTGTTTATGTGGGGACGACCCTGGGTGAAAGTATTGTAAATACATTGTTTATGAGGGGACGACCCTTGGTAAAATTATTGTAAACACATTGTCTATGAGGGGACGACCCTGGGTAATGTTTATGAGGGGACGACCCTGGGTAAAATTATTGTAATTATTGTAAATACATTGTTTATGAGGGGACGACCCTGGGAAAAATTATTGTAAATACATTGTTTATGAGGGGACGATCCTGGGTAAAATTATTGTCAATACATTGTTTATGTGGGGACGACCCTGGGTGAAAGTATTGTAAATACATTGTTTATGAGGGGACGACCCTGAGTAAAATTATTGTAAATACATTGTTTATGAGGGGACGACCCTTGGTAAAATTATTGTAAATACATTGTCTATGAGGGGACGACCCTGGGTAAAATTATTGTCAATACATTGTTTATGAGGGGACGACCCTGGGTAAAATTATTGCTTGTCTGTGTCTATACTTATGTGCTACAGTGTTTTTGTATTATATATTATGTTTGTGTCTGAAATACTGTAAAAGTAGAAATTCTCATGTGTGGAAATTTTCGCGTATGGAAATCAGTTTGTCTTGTGACCCTTTAAACTAATTAGGGCCCCGTATCGGAGATACGGGTGCCCTATAGTAATCACTCTGTCTGTCTGTCTGTCTGTCCACAAATTTTGTTCCTGGCTGATAAATTTGGTATTTATTGACCGATGTACATGAAACTTGGTCAATATGTTCAGTTTACAAAAATACACATTGAGGAAAAAAGTCAAGGTCAAAGGTCGAGGTCATTAGTTTCAAAGGTCGAGGTCAAATTTTGCATATTTTCACTCATGAACATTTTGTTATGACATTATGAAGCAAAATTGATCAGAATCAAACAAGGAGTTTACCTTACCAAATGTCAAGGTCATTGGGTCAAAGGTCAAGGCTAAATTTTGTATATTTTCACTGGTGAACATTTTGGTATGACACTTTGAAGCAATGCTGCTCAGAATTAAACAAGGAGTCAACCTGACCAAATGCAAGGTCATTGGGTCAAAGGTCAAGGTTAAATTTTGTATCTTTTCACTGATGAACATTTTGTTATGACATTATGAAGCAAAGTTGGTCCGAATTTAAAAAGGAGTCAACTGACTTAAGGTCAAGGTCATTTTATATTATTATGTAGCAAACTTGTTCAGATCTTAACACAGAGTCAACTGACCTTAGGTCCAACTTACAGGGTCTAAAGGGTCAAGGTCAAGTTTTGTATTTTTCACTGATGAACATTTTGTTATGATATTATGAAGCAAAGTTGGTCGGAATTAAAGAATAAGTCAACTGACCAAAGATCAGGGTCACTGGGTTAATGGTCATGGTCATTTGGGTCCAAAGGTCAAAGACAAAGTGGATCTCTGGCTTTGACCTTGGCTCTTGATGGATGAGGTATATAAGGTGAAATAAAACAAATCAAAGCTAACAAATGAGTATTGCATCAGTATTTACATTTCTGTTAGCTCAGCAAATATGGAGGTGGAAGGAAACAAGACTCACATCATAGTACATGTAAAATGTATATTTTGCTTCCTTGCGATTCTTTTTGAAGTCCAAATGTCAAACGTCAAGCTCAGCTATATGGGCAGATTGCTTCTTGATGATTATGGGGGATATATTGCCACAAGACGTGGCCCTTACTGACCTGTCAGTGTTCTAGTTATGTCGTGGACATTTTTGCATTGACAATGTTTCTAAAATCTACAAATTCTATATATCTATAATCTATATAGAAACATTTGTGAGCTAAGTGTAATTTTGTGCTTATTTATATGATTTCTCAATTCAATGCACTCTTCGTAGGCTGTAAGTATATTACAGTTATATTACTATGACAGCAGGGCAATCATACAACATTTTTAGCTTACCTGGCCTGAAGGGCCAAGTGAGCTGATGCAATGGTGCAACGTCCGTCGTCTGTCCGTCCGTCGTCTGTCGTCCCTCCGTCCGTCGTCTGTCAATAATTTACTTTAAACAACTTCTTCTTAATAACCAAAAGGTCTAGGGTGATGATATTTGGCCAGAAGCAAACTAGGATGAAGGGCTACCAAGGTTGTTCAAATAAATGACCTTCACCTATTTTCAAGGTCACAGGGGTCAAATATGTTAAAAACTTTAAACAACTTCTTCTCAATAACCAAAATGCCCAGAGTGATGATTTTTGGCAAGTAGCATGCTGGGATGAAGGGCTACCAAGTTTGTTCAAATAAATGACCTTGACTCATATTCAAGGTCACAGGGGTCAATTGTCTTAAAAAATCTTTATACAACTTCTTCTGAATAACTAAGAGGTCTAGGATGATGCTATTTGGCCAGTAGCATGCTGGGATGAAGATATACCAAGTTTGTTCGAATGAATGGTCTTAAATTATATTCAAGGTCACTGGGGTCAAATATGTTTAAAACTTTTATACAACTTCTTCTTAATAACCAAGAGGCCTAGGATAATGATATTTGGCCAGTAGCATGCTGGGATGAAGGGCTACCAATTTTGTCAAAATGAATGACCTTTGCCCATATTCAAGGTCACAGTGGTCAATATATGTTTAAATCTTTAAATGACTTGTTCTGTATAACCAATAGGTCCAGGGTTATGATATTTTGCCAAAAGCATGCTGGGTTCGAAGACTTTAAACTCTGTTCAACCTAATGTCCTTGTTTGACATTCAAGGTCACAGGCGTCATATGTTTAAATCTTTTAATAGGTTCTTATGAATCAAACACTGATATTCTGCCTGTAGCTGTATTTTAGTCCACTTTTAATATTACAAGTGTGGGATTAATACCAGGTGAGCAATTCAGGCCCATTGGGCCTCTTGTTTGGAAATTGCCACTATTCTCTAGTAAAAAAAAGAGAGATGGGGAATAAAATTATAAGAGGCATGGATTATATCATTGTAGACCACACGTATAGTATTTGGATTGAGATAATAAATGCTAAGTTTGTTTTGAACATAAACAATAGTTACAGTAGTTTATCAGCATAACAGCAATTTATTACACTTATATAGTAAGCTCAGTAAAAAAGCCAATCAAAGTAACCTCTACCCCCTCCCAACCTCTACCACCCTCCCAACTTCTATCCCTCCCCACCTCTACCCCCTCCCCACCTCTACCCTCCCAACCTCTACCCCCTCCCCATCTCTACCCCCTTCCCACCTCTACTTCTAAACCCTCCCCACCTCTACCTCCTCCCAACCTCTACCCCTCCCCACCTCTACCCCCTCCCAACCTCTACCCTCTCATCGCCTCTTCCCCTCCCAACCTCTACCCCCTCCCAACCTCTACCCCTCCCCACCTCTACCCCCTCCCAACCTCTACCGCCTCCCCACCTCATTAGATTCAGTTTAATATGTGATTTGTTTGATATTTTCCAGAAACTTTTGACCCGGGTGTCTTCACTCAGGCAGTAGAAGATGGTGACCTACAGACATTTCTGGACCTGCTCAGTGATGTGGAGGGAGCAGAGGAGGGGCCGGGTGAAAGGGATTCTCTTCTGGTTCTAAATGACTCAGTGTTTGGCGAGGGGATGCCGTTGCTTCACTTCCTGTGTAGTAAAAAGGATATAAATGAACAGTTCATCAAAGCACTTCTACACTTAGGAATCAACGTCAACCTTTTTTGTGAAAATCGTGTAAGTTTACTGTAGTTTATTATGCAAATTTTATAGAAAAAAAAATATATTTCAAAAGTAGGTATTGGACATTTAACATAAGTAGTGTTAATTATCATCACCCAACCTCAAACAACTTTGATTGAAGGAAGTTGCTGTGACCCAATTATCTATTCGCGGGGTATATAGTTAAAGGGCCTACATGGCACAGTGGCATGGTATGCATGATGTTTAATGGGTTATTTGTGCGGCATTAAATTTTTGTGATTTTGACTAAAAAATAGCAAATTTAATTTACCAGTTACATGGATTAGAATTTCGTGACCTAGACGTTTAAAGGGGAAATATCCTGCTATTCAGTGTTCATATATAGACTCAAAGGTCAATGGGGATCTGAGCCACTCGCCTTTGGTCTCAGCTAAGAGTTTTAGTAATGCAGCCATTTCTAAAGCCTCCAGTTTGTTTACCAATGAAAAGTGAAATTCTTTTGGAAACTCTTCTACAAACAATTGACAATAATCCCTTAAGGTCGATTTTAAGGATATGCATTTTCTTACATTTATAGAAGCATGTTTACAAAAAACTTTCGTTTATTATAAATTACCATGTATGGACTTCTGTGATTTGTGAATATGATGTAATAATGAAACTGGTGATATTGACTGATATTATACATTTTTATGTTAAATTTTAATGAAACATACATTACCCGGTAAGTCTTAAAATATCAAAGAACTGTTTTGTTAACAGTAAAAGTGTAGGGTATTACGGTACCCTTAAAGCTCTATTAAAAAAAAAAAATTTTTTTTTACTGGAAACCATCTTTAATGAGTTTTTGAGAACTTGTCACTTGTATTAAATCTGGCCAATGGGAAGTACATATGCTTTGTAATACAAATATTGCTGATAAAAATATTATTTGTGTCTCCTTACCAGAACTTCTTATTTTAATAATTCAAAACCTGTAACAACATATTATTCTAATGAACTTACGTCTCTGTCCTGTTGGCTATGAAAAGGTACTTATATCTTTTGTGCCTTCCCGTTCAAGGTTTTCTTATAAACATGTTTTACCTGAAGTATTTACATAAAAAGCAGATTTTTAAAAAAAAAAAAAATTAATTGTGGTTCATGACTTAATGGATGCCAAAATCACTTAAATTTCATTCATCAGCCATTGAATGTAGTAGAATAACGTAAATTTCTGAAATGACTCTTTCTTTCGATACTTTATCTAATCCAGGGGAGACCTATACACGTCGCATGTTCTGAAAATTGTCCTGAAAATTTGAAAGTGTTGCTGGATTACGGTGCTAAGATTCTTGAGGCGGGAGAGCAGGCCTGGCAGGAGAACTCGCCGTTTTATGTGTCCTCACTCTGCGGACATGTCAACATTATCCGCATCCTATTGTCCTACCAACCAAGTATGTCCACTTGTAAAAATGAGTCTCTTCCCCAACTCGGTGAGAATGTTTCGAAGATAAAGTCAGGCTCGTTAGCATTTTAACCTCAGCAGTGAATCTGTCACTTTAACAGCTAATGCTTGGCTGAGTAACCACATGACTAGTCAATCAGAAGATCATGGAAACTCAGCCTACTTACATTCCTTAATAACACTACTTAATGATTTCTGGAGTTTTGGTTTGTATTTTGTTTTGGACTAATTTTCGGCCTGTAGGGCCAGGGGAATTTATGCCGGGGCACTGCATCTCTTGTCTGTCCTTCAGCTTATCCTTTAAAAGACTACTAGTCCAGAATAGATGGGAGGGTTTTGACTAAATTGGGTATGAAGTGTAACAAGGCAAAGGGAATTCAATTTCTTATAATTAATGAAGGGTGCCATCTCCCAGGGTATGGTTTGAGCATTCCAGGGCCAATGTAATTAAATATACTATTTGAAATAAAAAAAAAAAAATCCCTTTAAATGAAAGAGATACATGTTGAACTAATGCATGCTCTACTGGTTCTGGTCTTTTATATCTTTTTATCTCAATGAAACCTCAAGGATACCTGCATAACTGGCAGATAGCTATAGGGTGCTGTTCATTATAATTAGGTTAGCTAGGTCAAAGGTCAAATGAGTGAAAAAAAATCATTGAAATCTTGTCCATGCAATAAATGTTAAATTATTGAAGATATCTTAATGAAATATGACAGATGTTTGCATCATCCAAAAGGTGTGAAGTGCAATACATTTAAGTCACAGTGATGTTCATTCTTCTAGGTCAAAGGTCAATTCCTGACATTTTCAACTATTTCTAAACTTTGTGTGGCCAGTTTTTACAAGACTTTTCAAAAGTAAAATCTCTAATGGCCCTGACCCAGTTTTTTTGTTTAACCGTTTGATTCAAAATATCACGAAGGCAACCTTCTTTCTGATGGACTGAGACAATTATCAACTAATGTTTTATTCCACTAGGTCAGTGTTAACTAGAACTAACCAGATATGGTTACATAAATCTTAGCAAGATGGAAATCAGTTCATGAATATATGTGTGTTTATGCTTCCAAATTCCTAAATTTATGAAATTGTACTTAAAATTCCTAATTGCTTTGGCAAGGTTTAATGTTTAAAATTTGCTACAATTAGTCTTGATATTTTAATTTAAAATTTTGACTTTTTTTTCACCGTTTTATTAATGATGTGAAATTCAGTTTTCTTTTATTTCTGGCATCAGCACTACAATTAGCATAAGAACCTTGACACATACTATTTCCTTTATTTCATTTTCTTCATGGCTATTTTTATATTTAACATATTTCAAAGTCCCATTTTCTTTTTCTTTTCTTTTTTCCCTCATTGATTCATTCATATGTCTCCTTCAATTTATTGCCAAACCTCTTTGTAATGCCAAAATTTTACTGAGCAAATCGTGCCAGTATTATAAGGAGAGCTAAATTACTGCATAGTCTAACTTTGTCTTCAGTTTCTAGTTATATTAGAAAAAACATATATGTTTTATATCTCGCTGCCTAAACTGCTTGGTAACAAGTTGACAATCACAAATAATTTATAAAAATTAAATTATGTACTTAGTAGGGATGTCCTTCCTTGCTTAATTGTAAACATATTAGTTTAACTATAATTTTATCTTGTATTTCGCCTTGATGTTGAGTATTTGCCCAAATAAGGAAGATTATTTGTTCTGTTCCCTGACCAAGATAGACCAAAGTTGTTGAAATTGGTACTTACTGCCCTTGCTGAGTTTGTTTGATGGTTTGCTTCAAATATATACTGGTACTCCGGTTTCCTCCCACATTAAGACCCCCTGCACACTAACTGCGGGGCCAACATGAGTGATTAATATGCCTGTTTCATAATTGTTTTAAAATAATTCAACTTTATATTTAAATAAACATGTATTAGTTCTACAACTTAATTTTCCTAAGTTCATGCTATTCGACAAATAAAATAAGTTAGCGTTTACTTTAAATATTTGTTAAACATGCAACGTCAGTTCACAGTATGTGTGATTGTGTTTTGTTACTTTAGATTAATTATTGATGTTGTTGTTTTTCAGAGCTGATCCGGGAACAGGATGTGCGGAGTTGTCTGCTCTACGCAGCGTGTGCGGGTGGTAACAAGGACATCGTGGGCATGTGGTACTGTCCTGGGATGGACATCAACCAACCGAAGCCCTATATCCAGTCCCTCGACAACTCCGGGGACAACACACCCATATTCGCAGCATGTGCAGGTACAAGACTTTCATAGCTCATGCCAAACTTCTATGGCCTTCAACTTTCAATCCCAACAAAAAAAAAATCTCCGTCTGCCCAAGAAGAACAATACAGATTGTTCTCTGTTAATAAAGACTTAACATGTATTGATCACTTAGTGTCAGATATTTACATAACTGACTGGAAAGTTCACTTCATCAACGTAAAATGGGGTGTTATGAATACCAGTCCAAATTGTTTCTTGAATAAAAACACAAACTTATTTTATTTTATAATTTGAACAACTGCTTTACCATGTTTGAGTCATCAAGACTGGTTTGACCTTGATTCATCAGATAAATGTATTTCATAATTCATTTTATATAACATCTAATGGCAAGCCATAATAAACGGTGGATTTTTTATTTCATTTTTTTTCGTTACGTTACTTCCAGGTGGGCATTATGAGGTGGTCAAGCATCTGGTGGATATGGGGGCGCGGCTCACCCACCGAGTGTGTACCGACTTTCCCGACATCACGGGACGAATCCTATTACAGTACGTTCAACAGGTGACCCCGGAGGACATATCGGACCGAGATGTGATAGAAACACAGGTTTGTGAACAGTTTAAGAGTCATTTGAAAAACTGTAATCCAGGCCAAGTTATTCAAAATGTGATTCGCTTCCCACAATCTTTACTTATCAATTTTCACTTATCATTGTTTAAGCTAATCATCTTTTTGACCAACTTTTGCCCAAATTATGCGAGATTTTGTGTTTTCAATCCTTATAGTCAGGTTTTATCAACAGTCTATGTCCATTTTGTTCAATTTGTTCGCCAACAACTTTTTAGGTCACCTGAGACAAAGTCTCAAGTGACCTATTGCGATCGCCTTTTGTCCGTCGTCCATCGTCCGTTGTGCGTCCGTAAACAATTTACATTTGCGACTTCTTCTCCAAAACCCCTGAACCAATTTCAATGAAATTTTGCAGGGACCTTCCATGGACAAAGGTCAACAAAAATAGTGGCCGGTTTAGTCCCAAGCCCCCAGGGGCCTGATAGGCAGGGCCAAAAATGGTCAAATTGACTAAAAATTCAAAAATCTTCTTCTCCAAAACCCCTGAACCAATTTCAATGAAATTTTGCAGGGACCTTACCTTCCATGGACAAAGGTCAACAAAATGCCGGTTTAGTCCTAAGCCCCCAGGGGCCTGAGGGGCGGGGCCAAAAAGGGTCAAATTGACTAAAATTTCAAAAA